GCCATGCTGGCTGGGGAATTCTGGGAGTTGAAGTCCACACATCTTAAAGTTGCCAAGGTTGAGAAACACTGCCTTAACCACCACACTATACTGGTTATTTGTGTTCCCCAGCAATTACACTTGAGAGTGATACTAGCTCAGATCTTGAAGGTAAAGATACCTATTGTGCTTAATAGTCAGTAAAAGACGTATCCTTTGTGAATCCATCTTCTAAAACTATCATTTGGTGGCCATCCTTACATATTCTGGTAACAAATTTCCATAGCTGAACTACATGCTGGTGAAGATGAGGGGAGGGCATGCTTTGAAAATGATTTGGAAGGGCAGCTTCAGATCTTGATGGCTCACAGCCCCTCTCTGGAGTTCATCAAAGGAGCAGGACTTTCTTCAGGCTTCTGCAAGGTCCCCTTAAGTGTAACGCTGAAAGCAAGTTGGTGTAATGGTTCAAGGCAACAGGCTAGAAACCAGGAGACTGTGAGTTCTAGTCCTGGCTTAGACATGAAGCCAGTTGGGTGACTTTGGGCCAGTTGCTCTCTCTCAGCAACAGGAAGAAGTCAATGGCAAACCACTTCTGAAAATATTGCCAAGAAATTGGCAGTGGAATTGCCACATCTCACAAGATTATCTCAGCTGAATTCTTGGAAGATTTGGAGAGCCAGTTTGGTGCAGTGGTGAAGGCACCAGGCTAGAAACCAGGAGACCGTGAGTTCTAGTCCTGCCTTAGGCACAAAGCCAACTGGGTGAACTTTGGCCAGTCCCACTCTCTCTCAGCCAGAAGAAGAAGAAGAAGAAGACGACAAGGGCAAACCATTTCAAAAATCTTGTGACTCATCCAGGCAGTTGCCAGGAGTCAACATTGACTGGAAGGCACAAATAATAATATGAATGTTAATGAGCGGCTTTCTTAAAGCAGTGGCTTCTTCCTGTTCAGGCTCATGCAGAAGCCTGCAAAAAATCAGTCTACTTTAATAAATCGTGGAAAGATGCTATGCTTGCACCCACATGAAGACCAAAGCATGTTTCAGAGCATGCACAACACTCGTGAAAATCTCCTTCCTTCTTTCTAGGCCAAATCTCTTAATACTCAACTACATCCAACGTTCTGAGTCGGGGAGAAATATAATCTTCCTGCATTTTCCCCATAACCTGCATGATTCAATTTATTTATTTAAAAGATTTGAATAGTGCTTCCTATTTTTAAAAAATCTATACATTCCTTTCATTACTACTATCTCTCCCTTCCCTCCCCGGCCTAGTGCATAGACAGAGCAAACGGATTAAGATAAATCTAATCTGTTTACCTGTTTTGCTTTTTGCAGAAGATTTTTTCGAGGCAGCATTTCTCCCCCTAATAATCTCTGTAGATTAATTCACTGGACGGTTGGGAAAGGAAAATTGGATTCATTTTTTTCAAAGTGTAAGTTCAGCTGTAAAAATACCCGTGTTGAGCCACCCACGCGGGACAGTTTTAGGTGTGTCTTTGTCTTCCTCCAAAAGTACGCACATAAGGCAGGAGAAGGATCATCTACGAATAAAATAGACTTTTTTTTCCTTTTAAAGAAAATGTTTTTCTTTCTTGTCTTTTGTCTGCCCTCTAGTGGCTGTTTATGGAGGTGCTGGAATTCAAAATGCTCCGCTAGTCTAGAACAGTGCTTCTCAACCTTGGCAATTTGAAGACGTGGCAACTTGAAGACGTGTGAGCTGGCTGGGGAATTCTGGGAGTTGAAGTCCACACGTCTTCAAGTTGCCAGGGTTGAGAAACACTGGCCTAGAAGGTTTCATGTTGGCTGCATACACAAAACATTCTTAGATGGGGTTACCATCTTTGGCCAGAACCTTAAGAATGCTAAGCCAGTATTTAAAAGTAGCC